TTTCATATGTTAATATCCAAAAAATAATTCAATATCGTCACCGGCTGATAACCGAACCGATGTTATTATGTTCAACTGTATACATACATTTATGAATTATTATATCATAATTCTATATATGAAACATTTATCCTTATATACTTTTTACTACGCATCTTATGATAAACATATCAAAGACAGTTGTATTATTTTAAATTTAGCATAAAAAGTCTCATTGTTTGGAAATTTTCAACTTACACACATTATTAATTTAGTTTTTCTGTCAATAAGTTCAATACATTATAAAAGAAACAGTAAAAGAATAATTTTAGGTCTTATAAAAATGTATAGGTACATAGTGTTATAAAAAATAACAATAATAAATAATTTAGCAAAATGTCAAATGTCAGGATAATATAAAATTCAAATTAAAAGTGAACAGAGAGAGAAATGACAGTCGACTTTCGTTTACATTAGAATAATGAAATACTCAAAAGACCAAGAGTTTAGCTGCAGCAGAAAAATATAAAAAAGGTTTAACAAACTTACAATAAGGACATTTTAATGCGTAATCTTATTTAAATTTTCCCAAATTTTGGCGTTCAAATGCACTCGAATAAATGTGTAACCATTGTAATGATTAATATGAGAATAAATGCTACAATATTAATAATTAAAAAGTATGGCGTAATCCGAATAAAGAAAAAATTTATTTATCTATATCAATGGCAAAAAACAATATTTGATTCAAAAACAAATTTCAGCAACTATTTCATTTTATTACTATTACAATATCACATTACCTGTAATTTTTTATCAAACTCTTTGCTTCTCAGTCGACCGTTATACTTATGATGTAAAAATATGTTTCCTCTTAGAAACCAGTTTCTAACTAAAATGTATTAATAAATTTTAATGATTTTAATATATTATTTTATATACTACATACACATTATAGTTATTGAAGATTTTTTATGTATATTATATTTTTTATGGAGTCTGCTATAGATTGATGAAACGACATACTTTTTTTATTATTATATTTTTTATTTGATTGATTCATAAATCATTTGTATTACAAACGTAGTCAGATGTAAAATGCTCTTTAGAAAGTGTTTTCTATAGTGTCTTTATAGCTTCAGTAAAAGCAGGGTGGCTGGTTTCCACTAATTTACATTCTATTACAATGTATGTATATCCGTACTGCTTTAATTTTTATATAAATCGCCATGTTTTTTTTTAACAAATGTTTACTTTAAACAAGAATCCTTGAACTTCATAATAGTATTTAATAATTTGTTTCTTTATTGTAAAGCAGCACGCGCAGACATTTACAATTATATTTCAAGTGGTCTAGCCACTAGTTCTTGACACAGATTAAATATCGTATGGTCTGTGCGATCTGTTCAGTGTATCAAATCGAAAAATCATCTATTATCAGTGTTGTTCATAAATTGATTTTTTTTAATCCGTCGACCTGGTTTATAACGACCTCAACCTGTCTTAAGCAGACTTTTTTTAAAAATTGTCTATGACTTTCTCCTTCATTGACGGTTCAGCGACCGGCGTTCGTTGCGTTGTGTGATTGTGAATTACTATTATTGCGCATCAGTAACACATATAATATAAATTGTATTGATTTTCTGTAATGCAATTTTATATGTAGAGTGTTATTTGTAAACAAAAATTGAGTGTTATTTGTAAACAAAAATCATCGTTTTTTAGAACGATTGTTCTTTTAAGGTTAACGTCAGAGGGAAACAAAGCAATTATTTTCATATTACGTTCGTTTGTTTAAGCCAAAACGATTTGTCTAATCGCTTTGTTAATGAACGAGAACGAGTGCAATGGACATAATTTTATCTGAGCCATTACTGGAAAAGTAAATATCCTTTGACATGTTTAAAAATGTAACGATTCAAAATAAAATGTTATGAACGGTGCACGCAATAAGGTAGTCTGTTGAAAAACAGCCCGACTTGTTTGTAAGTATCCATTTCAAGATATAAATTAAAGGTTGATGCTGACTGCGGTTTGGTTAGAGTCCTTTGGTTTTTTCCATAATGATAATCTTATAATCAACAATGTGTTTTGATTCTGAATCGAACATTAAATAAACTTCGCAGTTATTAACATTACAACTGAACACACAGAATGGGGTACGGCATAGGTGAAATGGAATTTAACAGCTGAAAGTTACAGTACTTACGTCAGCTGATTTATAAAATGGATTTCGCTGTGATCTGTGTTAGTTGCGATAGAAACGCTTACAATAAAATGATTCATCACATATAATATTTAAAACATTCGCAGAGATTAAGCACATATGTTTATACCTTATTATTTAAGCAACCTCTTCGAGCAGATTCACCGTCAGGCTCGGTCTAAATCACACCACAATTTAGCTGATTTACTGTGAACTAAAAAATCCGTTTTATAATTTTGATTTAAAATAGCAACAGAGCTACGCGTCTTTCGTTTCATAATAACATTTTTCTAGACAAAGTATGCGCTTAAGCATGTTACATGATGAATAAAAGAAAATACAAAAACATATTGTAATGATCTTAATAGAATAAGTTAAAGTTATTTACTTTTCAATTTGTAAATCGTGAGTCGTTTGCAATGTATTATCGGATACAACTATTGCAGGAAAAATATATGAATAGCTTTCACCCGCGGCTTCGCCCGCTTGGAATTCTCGGCTGCCATCGTGAAAAGTAGGCCATATTCTCCGAGGTCCTATCAAATGAATTTTATTTAAATCGATTTTATTCAACAGTGATGATAAACAAACAGACAAAGTCACTTTCGCCACAACAATATTAGTATGTCTGTAAACGTTACATCACAATATATGTAGTTACTGAATAAATCTTACACACGTGTTTACATTAAAAATTTCGCTAATTCATAATACTACTATGAAGTCAAATAAAATAGAACTTAGAAATATAAATAAACATGTGTTAACGTTAAAAAAAACTGGTTTTATTTTAAGATTACCTGCCTCCCGCAGCTTCGCTTACTCACTCGGATGTCATGGTTAAACTCGACTAAATACCTAAAAATGTTTGTCTATGCGTTATTCTGACATATGTATAAGCCATAACTGAATATTTGTTGCAAATTTTGAGTACAATTATACAATTCATCCGATCTTCTTATATTTTTTAAAATGAAATATGTATATAGGAAATTATTATAATTCTTGCTTGTCTGTACATAAACGTTATTATATTTATAATATTATTCAACAATCCATATATTTTAATATATTACATAACTGATAGTTATAGTTTTTCTCCTGCTAGCCTACTATATATTTTTTTCGAGTTTTCCTCTCTGGTATTTCGAGATTTTAGTTATGTGCCTTTGCAAATGAAATATAAAAGAGTAATATATAGTTGATGTTGAAATAAAACCGCTTACATCCACAGAAGGATGAGCAAAAAGCAAGTTAATGCCGAACATTACGCAGTGTGTACAGGTGTACCTACTAAGAAGTGTGCATCACAGCTCTTAGCATACACTCGTCTAGAGAATAATTCTGGATACATTCCTACAGAGTTAAAACATATATAAACGTAGTAAGTTAAAATAAACATTGAAGTTCAAAGACCCGGTAGAAAGTGATGACTTATTATCCATTACGCGATAATATTATTATGTCACAGCATTGGGGATAGACCCAGTTCGTGTGTATTTGTCGACACAATTCCCTCTTATCTGTTTATATCTTTATACTCAATGGAGTGGACTGTATACGTCTGTATGGGGTAAAGTCCTTATTTGCTTATATGTATGTTATTTTCCACGACACCATCTAGTTAACATCGTCTTCTATGAATCATTAATGGAATACAAGCGATTGTAATTTATCTTAGAACATGCTATATATAGATGGATATTGTAATTTAATACTCGTGTTATATTGTATTTAAAATGATATAAATATATATAAACATTTAATTTTAATGACTTACAATGAATCGATGTCAGTAATTCAGTCGGGTTTATTCTAAAACGATTTATTTTACGATCTGTAATTGAGTAGCAGTTTGAGTCTCCGCCGCTATTTGGGACATGTCTTCTGGGATATTTTAGCGACGTTTCGCAGACTAGTGTAAAATGTTCATATTATTAATATAACTACTACCTGCTTTGATAATAGATTTATTGATGTAATAAATTATATCCATTATATTGTATGAAACTTGGAAGTTAATTAAACTTTTTACAGCTGGTTTTTCATAAATGCATCGTGGTGAAGCTAAGTGAAGTTTCTTTGTTGTGATAAAATGTTAAAAATTATCAGATCTACAGACTAATACTGGTATGGTATATCAAATCGGAGTTAGTGTGAATCATCTGGTAACTGTTAAATGGTCAAAAGGTTTTTCGTTTATCTTCGAACGGATCGCGACCTTCTAATGCTGACGAAATTTATCAAGCAATTTTTTACCTTATAACTTGGAACGTACAACAGAATGTATTGCAAAAGTAAACATAAGAGGCAGGTAGGAGTGGTAGGACTGACCGACGCTAATGATCTAATAATAATATGAGGTTTGGCTTTCAACCAAATGCTATGGGATCTATCCACTCCGAGGAAAAAGTACTTAAAACAAATGCGGGGTTTCTAGACTTTCACAATGCGTTCTTTGTCTTTCCGTTATTGTTTTCAAATATCTATCGTATATTATTCTTTAAATATTAACAATGGATCTTTTTTATTATAATATTAATGCAACGTTAACCAGTGTTTAACTTTGTGTCTTGTAGTTTTGTTATTTTTTCTTAAGAGGGTGACTTCAACGTGATGAGTTCCGATGGAATTTAGCATAAGAATTTGAAGGTTTTTATCAATTCTGCATTTAATTTAAGTGACTCGTCTGCCTTGATAATAATTTTAATCTATATAAATCAATGTAAATTTTTGATATTTTTACCAACAACAAATAACGAAAATAAATATAAAATTATGAAAAACGATAAAAATAAAAGAAGCGGTAACTTACCGATTAGAAATAGTCCTTAGTCCGGGTCGACGACAGAAAACCAAGAGGGCCAAAGAATTGCTTGCCGTCGATACCAAAAACAGAGCAAGGAGCACCACCTCCTCAACGAGCCGGTCCTTCGCTTCCATCCCCTCTGACATTAACTTTCGTCCAGGAGACAAAAACGACTAACGTTCCAAACAAAAGTCATCACTAGTACTAAAGCACTTTGCAAGCAATCTAACACTTAGTTCGCTCGGAACTGCAATAAAGTTGCGTGAAGTTTTGAGAACACGCTGGTCTTAGCGGCCGCGTCTTTCTCGTAACGCTGTCCGTTGACAACTGGTTATTTGAGCGGGTCGTATAGCAGTCAGAAACGCGTGGCAACTGGCATCCCCACTCCGTGCGGATTCACTTTGAACCGTGAGACGCATACATACAGCCAGAGCTTTGTATCGCATTATTGAGAAACGTGGCCGTTAGGATTTGAACTTAAAATTGGAACACGCTTAGCTCGTAAAGCATTCGTAAAAGCTTTCAAAATAGTCATCTTAGCACTTAAATGCTGCATGTATTTTCATATTTGTAAATAATTCCAATATATATATTTTTTATTTTTTCAGTCGTAATGAATAATAAATGTTTATTTTACGGTTATAATTTAGCTTCAATTTTATATATACATTTAAGATTACAAGCTAGTTTTCCATATTTTTTTGTAGACTTTTATACAAAATATAGGTTTCGGGCCAAGGCCAGACAAAATAGATACGTTTATTAGTCAATTACCATATCCATAACACGTACATTTTTTTTTATGTCTGAAGTTCTATAAATGTACTTATTGCGATTGAATTTAATATAAAGTAAAAGTGACGAAGTATAATATATCCTGTAGAAGAAGTTAATAGTAAATATTTTTTTTAATAGTGAATTAGTATCGGGGATGTTGGCATTCATCCAGAAATGGTCATGTCATCCGGTCGTTAACTTTACCTGTGGATCTCAATTGCTGCCAAATTCTAGAATAATATCTTGATGTCTCACTGCACGAAGTAATAAACATTAAATAATGAACATCATGAAAGTTATTAAATTTTTATGTCTCAATGTTACACATTGTATGGGCGATACTTTCTCTGTTAAGTGTCATGATTTTCGTTCATTGATATACCTGTTGAATCCCTTTTTTGAAACATATAGAAACTTTTTCAATGTTATTTATTGAAATTCAAAAGAATTTTTAATGATTACTATTACAAGTTGCTAGTCAGATTACTGTTGATAAATGTGTATTCGTTAATATTGGTGTAAAATAACGATGACATTTTTTGTTTTATTATCGTCTGTTCATTAATCACTTATTATAGTTTGTAATTCGTTATCTGGTGGAGATAAGCATTACAATTTTATCAAATTTAACAAAGATATGATATGCTTTGCTTAGTTTAAGAAAATCATCACGAATAGATGAAATATTTCGAAACAGAGTATTCCTATCCAATTATAAATTGAATGTTCTCTTAAAAGGAAATATTATAAATTAAATACAAAGGAAAATATGCTTAAGATACATTCATATTTATTCTCTTAACATAAACCCATATGCACCTTAAACTGACATTTTAAATGTGGATAGTAAACTAAGAAATAGCAATTAAAAATATCATAAACCTACAAAGAGATTGCACGAGTACCTAACTATTATTTAAATGTTCAAACATTTAGTAACAAAAGTATCAATTGACTCAATATTTTCATTACAAAACCGTCATTCATTCCGTACATTTGAAAATTAAAATGGCGTCAGTCGCCATATTAATATAACATTTTTAGCACGCTGTGTGCAATCTTTTACTTAACACTTAAATTACAAGCAATTATGAACGTGAATGGACAGAATCATCATACTATGAATTATAAAATGTTAATTAACTTTGTTTATAACAAGTTTAAATACGTACATTTATATAATTAAATATAATCTGGATACATTTACTTCATAATATATTTATAATACATATTGCGTCATGGTAACACTAAGTGATGGAACGCCATGGCATGACACTAGTATTAATAAGTGATCATAATTCATATCTGAATAGCATTCAACAGTAATCTTACCATAAACAGAACGTACGTTGGCAATCTGCGTCACATATGACGACAAACTATCGTGCTTCTCTAATTAGAAAATTTTGGAACTCTGTTTTCTTTACAAATGACTAGCGTTTTATTCATATTATTTTTAAAGGTTTGTTTAAGAAATCGCTCTTGATATGTATATTAATAAATATATTACTAAAAAATGTACTTTTAAACACATTGACTTAAACAACAAGATACAAAGTTTGCAGCGAAAATTACACTTTGACAAAGCCCAACCAATCAGCTGTTCGGGTCGAGTCAAAAGTGCAACTAAATTGTTCATTTAATACATATGTACATCTATTCGGTTTTATTACTCTTCTATTTATTTCATTTACATTATTTAGAATTGAAAATATTATAAGAAATACTTTCGAGTTTACTTGTATTTCATACGTAGGAGGCAATTTAAAATTAGCAGCTTCTTTTGTAATTTTAAAAATATTATTTATACGAAAACATTCCGTACGGATCAGCTTAGAGTTGGATAAGTTTCGAGGAATAAGAAAACATAAAACAAAGGATTATTTTACATTCTCGTAATGCAATACGATACCACAGATAATTATAAAACATAAATATTTGTCACAATGCTAGGCGTCAGAATAAACGTAGCCGACAAACACCCTTATTACTTACAGCTTTTTTTTGCTTACAGTTTTTAAGTATCTATCAAATAGTGACTTTGAGCCATCGGTGGGAATGGAAAAAGGGAATGAAATGTTAGGACCATATATTAAGTCTGGAGCCAGTCGCTGACTTACAAAAATCTCTTTAGAATATAGTTACTTATAAATCTTTTTTTCTCCTCTTTTATTATTGTCCCCACACCACTCTCTTTTCTGGTTTCCTTTATCAAAATGTTTTCTGGTAGAGATATCTTTTAAGAGATTAATTATCCTTTCTGCCTTACGTTTCTTAACTAATAATGTAACTATTTCTACTTTTAAATATGTTTTTTGTAACCAGAATATAATTTTATGAGACAGCTGATTTTTCTTGTACCCTTCGCTGTACAAAACGTTATTAGAATGACAAAGGGCAACTAAATACGATTTCTTTGTAATGTCCATTCACCACGAAAATTATTATACAGCGTATCCAAAAAATATTAATATTTTTCCTTCATGTCTTTTCTAATCCAATTAAAATGTATTGTTTTATTTTATTCGAATTCTAGACTCAGGTCTCATTGAAATTTTCAATGAACACCTACTCACTATATACATATAAAAGCAAATGAAATAGTTTAGAATATAAAGTTTTAAGTACACCTTTATATGAGGATAAAGAATAACATTTTGGTATTAATGAAACCTATATAATTATTTCAATAAACAAAATATAGGTCTTCTTACTTTGTGATGAAAAATTCTTTTGATTTATAATTAAAATTAAATTTGTTTGGTAACTAAATATTTTAGAAGTATATAAAGGAGTTTGCTATTTTGTAAGTTATATAATATAACTACATTTTATTATATATCCATACATAGGGGAGAGTTGGATAATACCAAGCGGTTGATAACTCCGTGCGTCAGCGTAATTCAAAAACTATCCACTAGTTTGCGCTGTAGTGCGTATTCATCGAAGCTGGACATGCCCACACCCACCCCCGCGCACCGCCATTACGATCCACGCGACGACGCAGGTAGCACACGCTCTGGAAGTTTTATTCGTCATTCCTTATAATTTTTCGTATACTTTCGATAAGAGGTAAGTAATACTGTATTTATATTATAATACTTTCATACTATACTTTTTGAATGCTTGTGTACTGTAGAATTAATGTCAAAGTAAGTTTTTACGGGCTATAATATTTTCCTCATTATTTTGAGGTTAAAAAATAAAATGATCGAGTTCGATAATTCCGCGCTGGGGGCGCAGTATTATCAGTCGAGGGCGCGAAATTGTAAACTATGAAAAGTACGTTTTATTTACATTAACTTCTCTTAACATCGACAAAAGAGTTTGAACTTATTTGAATCTGTTTGTGGTATTTTATATCTAAAGCAAAAATACCAATTTTGATCAATTTATTGAGTTTAAGATAAACAATTGTGTGTGGCATCGATTGTTGTGATTTTTATGACTTGCCTTCTTATGAAAATAAAAATAATATAATAAATAAATATAATGCCTACTTACAAATTATGATAATATAGCTTTATGTATTATTTCCGTTTTAGATGGACCAATCTGTGCCAAAGAAAAAGAAAAAGTCATGGAATCCCGAAAATTTGAAGGCTGCACTTGAAGCTATACGAAACGGGAGCAAAATAAAGGCAGCTGCTAGAAACTTTGGAATCCCCGAATCTACAATTAGGGATCGACTTAAGTTGGGAGAAAATTATGACCCCCCCATGGGGAGAAAGGCCACATTTACACAAGAAGAAGAGAAAGAAATGGTCTCATTTATTACTTTAATGGCAAAAAAGTTTTATGGGATAACTCAACAACAGTTGCGTAAATTGGCATATGACTTTGCCATTGCAAAAAATATTAAAAATATTTTTTCGTCAGAGAAAAAGATGGCGGGAAAATGTTGGGTGTATTCCTTTTTGAAAAGAAATCCTGGAATTTCTCTGAGGCTTCCAGAGCCAACAAGTATAAACAGGGTTTTGGGATTTAACAAATCTGAAATAGGCATTTTTTTCACTAACTTAGTGACACTTATGACAAAGCATAATTTTCCAGCCAATCGAATCTTTAATGTTGATGAGGCAGGTATTAGCAACGTTCAAAAACCAGGTAAAATTTATGCTCCAACAGGACTAAAGCAAGTCGGAAAAGCTACGAGTGCAGAACGTGGCCAGAACGTCACAGTTGTATGTGCTTTTAGTGCCACAGGAATATATGTTTCGCCGATGTTTATTTATCCACGACAAAGAATTAAACCATCCCTGAAAATTGGTGGTCCACCAGGCGCAATTTATGAATGCTCTAAATCTGGGTGGATAAATGAAGATGTTTTCACCAAATGGTTGCATCATTTTGCTAC